TTTGAGATTGTCGTGAGTTATAATGATGCCAGGGCACTTTACCAAGGGCAACAAAGTGAGATTCAGTCAAAGGAAGGAAGGAGTCACAGAGGAGTGAGCCCTGTCCTGTCTCAGCACAGCCCACAAACCTGGGTGGTCTTCTACATCCTGGTCTCCATTTCCCGCCCAGCTCACCTCCACTCTCCCTCAGTTCCCTGGCCTCCTTCCTGTTCCTGGGACACACCAAGAGCCACATTCCAGCCTCCAGGTTTTTGTATTTGGTTTCCACTACTGGAGCACTTTTACTCACAAATTCCTCTCCTGCAGGTTGCTGCATAAATGTCATCTCCCTGGTGAGATTTCCCCGACCAGACCAGACCACCATATTTAAAATAGCATCCCAGCATCCCTGACCACCTTATTTAAAATAGCATGCCTGTAATCCTAGCACTCTGGGAGGCCAAGGCAGATGAAAGGCTTGAACTCAGGAATTTAAGAGCAAGACCACATCTCTACTAAAAATAGAAAAACTAGCAGGGGGTTGTAGCAGGCACCTGTAGTCCCAGATACTCAGGAGGCTGAGGCAGGAGGATATCTTGAGCCCAAGAGTTTCAGGTTGCTGTGAGCTATAGAGGTAGACTGTCTCAAACAAACAAACAAATAAAGTAGCATCCCACACCTTCCCTGTTTAACTTTTGTCCATAGTGCTTACTGCCATTTAACACACTACATGATTTATTATGTATTGTGTGTCACAGGGGGGAATTTTTAGCCACTGCTATATCCTTGATCTCTGAAACAGTGTCAGGCACTGAGTTGAAGCTTAATAAATCCTAAGTGAAGAAATGAATGAGCTTAAAACAATGATGAGGACTTTGAATTTTATTCTAAATGCAAAAGGAAGTTAAGGTAGGAGTCTAAGCAGGGGGGTGCTGTGATCTGACTCAGCTGCTCACTGGTTTCCTCTAGTTATTTAAGGGGAACAGACTATAGAAGGTTGAGCACAGGGGGCCCAGTGAGGAGGCTGTGACAATAGTCCTGTTGGAGGGGAGCGCCTAGAGGAGGGAGGAATAGGAAGATTTAAGAAAATGCAAAGAGGATTTACTATCATGACTGTGACTTCATTGGGCTAATCCAGCTGCCTCCAAGGTATTGGACCTGAGCAACAGGCCCTTGATTGGAATGGGAAGGGCTTCAGACTGGAATGTAGCTGTAAGGGTAAGGATTTGAGTTAGACTAGAACAGGAACTGGCTGACTATGTGACAAGGGATTCTGTCACAGTCCGACTACTTGGGGTTGGGGATTAAAAGACACAGTTCCTCCAGGTATGGGAGCTGCAGAAATCTTTCTCTCCTCTCCCAAAGGTCCCTGAAAGGACCCGAAGGCAAGCAGAGGAAGGGGACAAGGCACTGTGCATGTTGGCTGTTTCCAATGCTGGGTTGAGCTGAGGTGGGGATGGGGCAGGCAGCATCATCCGGCCTGACATGGAGCATAAACCCAGGACTCTTGTGCTGGGCCTGGTCTGGGAGGAAGGGCCCCCAGGTGACAGGCCACTTGCCCCTCCATGCCTGCTCCCAGTGGACACCATGAAATGCCCCAGAGCAAGAGCTCAGAGATGGAGCCGATTGTCCCAGGCAGTGAGGTTTAAAGGCTCCTTTAACCATCAGCTTTGAGGTCACTTCCTGGCAACCACCCATGGACAGTGTAGTGCTGGTGTGTCCACTGAGGGTCCAAGGGCAGCGGGGTAGGACTCAGGACAGAAAGAGACTAGAAGGGGCTCTGAGCGAATGGGGTCCAGCCAGCGGCTTTAGCTTTGCCATTTCTGCACCATTACTACTTGGAACCTCAGAACTTCAGTTTGGGCTCAGCGCCTGTGGGTCAAGCAGCTAAGGCGCCAGCCACAAACCTCTGAACTGGCAGGTTTGAACCCAGCCCAGGCCTGCCAAACGACAGCTGCAACCAAAAAAAAAAATAGCTGGGCATTGTGGCGGGCACCCTGTAGTCCTAGTTACTTGGGAGGCAGAGGCAGGAGAATCGCTTGAGCCCAGGAGCTAGAGGTTGCTGTGAGCTGTGAAGCTACAGTACTCTACCCAGGGCGATAGCTTGAGGCTCTGTCTCAAAAAAAGAAAAAGAACTTCAGTTTGTTTGGTTTGTTTAATTTCAGATTAACATGAGGGCACATGGCAGCACCCATACCTCAGTTGGTAGGGTGCCGGCCACATATACCAAGGCTGGTGGGTTCGAACCCAGCCAGGGCCAACTAAAAAAACAATGACAACTGAAGAAAAAAAAAATAGCCGCTGGGCAGCGCCTGTGGCTCAGAGGAGCAGGGCACCGGCCCCATATACTGGAGGTGGTGGGTTCAAACCCAGCTCCGGCCAAAAACTGAAAAAAAAAAAAAAAAAAAAAAGCTGGTGTTGTAGCGGGTGCCTATAGTCCCAGCTACTTGGAGGCTTGAGGGTTAAGCCCAAGCGTTTGAGGTTGCTGAGCTGTGATGCCACAACACTCTATCCAGGGCAACAGCTTGAGACCCCATCTCGAAAAACAACAACAACAAAAACAAACAAACAAACATGAGGGCACAAATGCTTAGGTTACAATGTTTTCATTTCTAAGGTAAAGTTCAAGTTGTAGTTGAGCTCTTCACCCAGGGGCTGTGTTGAACACCCTCACATTGTGTACATTAGGGAAGAACCCACCAATAACCCTCCCTCGACCCCCCAGAGTTTATTAAATGCTATATCCTTTTTTTTTTTTTTTTTGAGACAGCGCCTTAAGCTGTCCCCCTGGGTAGAGTGCTGTGGCATCACAGCTCACAGCAACCTCCAACTCCTGGGCTCAAGTGATTCTCCTGCCTTACCTCCGCCTCCCAAGTAGCTGCGACTACAAATGCTTGTCACAATGCTCCACTAGGTTTTCTACTTTTTGTAGAGATGGGGGGGTCTCACTCATGTTCAGGCTGGTCTTGGACTCCTAAGCTCAAGCATTCCACTGACCTCAGTCACCCAAAGTGCTAGGATTATAGGTGTGCACCACCTGTATCCCATTGTTAACACTACTTAGGTGATGCAGACTAGAGGGGGTGAATCTTCACCAGGTGGGGACATAAACAGATACTGAATGTCTAGAAGTGTCTATGGAAGCAAAGCAGTTGAAACAGTAACCCTGAGCCCAAGTCAACTTGAGAGGCAACCACTGGGATGAAATTTGGAGACAGCGACAAGTCTGTATTTCTCATAACGTTCTGAGGCAGATTAAACTCTCCATGGCATTAACTGTCAACTACTGACATAGATTAATGACTTCTCTCCTCAGCTGTAAAACTGAGGCACAGAGAGGCAAACTCATAGGCGCCAAGGCCACCAGGCCAGGGTTTGAACTCAGGCAGTCTTTCTCATCCCCTTTTAGCTGCTCAGAGGGTGATCCTTTTGCAGCAGGAACAGGTTGGCAAAGCAAAACAAGATGTAGCTTCCCGAAGTGGATATGAAGGTTATTTCTTCCCCTGCAGAGCAGCCATGGCCAGTTGTGTAGGTTGTACCCTGCACATGCACAATGGCACCTGCCAAGTAGGTGACTAGGAATTGTCCCCACCCAGCAAGAGTACTTTTTGCTAATTTGCACAAGTCCATTGATGGTTAGCAGCATCTCAGTCCTTTAAATTCCCCTTGGATCTGGCTTCCAGTGAACTGCAGAGTACCCATTTGTTCCGTCCCCAGGTCCCCCCCCCCCACAAAAAAAGGCTCAGATAGATTGCTGGTGTGTCCTAGCTCATAGTAACCACCAACTCCTGGGCTCAAGTAATTTTCTTGCCTCAGCCTCCCAAGTGTTTTCTATTTTTGGTGGAGACGGGGTCTTTCTCAGGCTGGTCTAGAGGAAATACCTGAGTTCAGGTGATCCATCGCCTCAGCATCCCAGGGTGCTAAGATTACAGACATGAGCCACTGTGCCCAGCCTGTCCCCAACGTTTAGGTGCTTCTCAGTTTATGGCCCTTGCTCAGGTCTGGACCCCAGAGTGGAGCATCTGCTCCCCCCAGTTTCTCAAGTCAGGACCCTCCGAGGGATTTGGGTGTGAGCACATGTGAGAAGCTTCTTGTGCACCACAGCTGCCCTCTCCACAGGTTGGTGAAGCTCTCCTCCGGACTGGGGAACAAGCACTAAGCAGCAGCTACCTATCTACATGAAGACATTAACATCTATTGGGGCTTTGCATTACCTCCAATTTTCCCAGAAGGCAGGCTCCACTGTCCCAATCCCCTCCCATTAAAACCAACACTCTTTCACTAGGCCAGAGTGCCTGCAAAATGGAAATGAAAACGAACCCTGCTGGCTCAGTGCCTATAGCTCAAGTGGCTAGGGCACCAGCCACGTACACCAGAGCTGGCGGGTTGGAACCCAGCTCAGGCCTGCCAAACAACTACAACCAAAAAATAGCCAGGTGTTGTGGCAGGTGCCTGTAGTCCCAGCTACTTGGGAGGCTGAGGCAAGAGAGTCACTTAAGCCCAAGTGTGAAGGTTGCTGTGAGCTGTGATGCCACAGCAGCCTACCCAGGGCGACAACTTAACACTGTCTCAAAAGAAAACCAACCCTGCTAAGGATCAATTAAGGTGAGCTATGTCTCCTGGCCACTGACACTACCGAAGGGCGTAGGCTGGGACTTGGGGCCAACAGCCTCTTCCTGGTTCTAACAACCACAGAGCCAAGATTTGAGACAGAGGCAACCCCCTCCATTCTTCCAAGAGGAGCCCAGGCTTAACTGCAGGGCTGGGCTCCTACATCTCATTTAGACCCTCCTCCTCCTTGCTGACTCAACTCTGCCCTTCTCACCCATGACCTCAAAGAGTCCAGACCAGGGAAGAAGTCTATCCGGAAGAAAGGAAGCAGAAACCCCACAGTGGGCAGGGTAGGGGCCAAGCCAGAGCAGAGGCAAATCCAGCAGCCAGCGGGCGGTGGCTGTTCTTGGGCTCCCTCTGGTGGGCAAGGGGCAGAGGCAAAGGAGGAGAAGCCAGTGAGAGATACCAAGTCAAAGTCAACACATCTTTATTAAATGCCTGCAGTTACTGGGAGGAGGCCATGATGCTGGACACACCTGTTGAGAAAAGAAGGCAAAACCAGAGTCAACTTGGGAAGACAGGGAGAAGAGCCTGCAGCCACCCACTACAGCACCCATGATTCTTTAGGGGCAGCTCATGAATCCCTCTTGGGCCCAGGTTACCATCACAAAGGCAGTTTAGTGCCATAGTTAAAAAACCATGAAAACCCGAACAAGGAGGCCCAAGTCCAATTCCCAGCTCTGCCAAAAAACTGATAGATAACTGTGGGCAAGCTACCATCTCTGTGCAGTAGTGTCCCTCCCTTTAAGCAATAGCTACCATTTAGGACTACAGGACTAAGTGATGTGCTTAGAACAAAGAACAAATGTTTATAATTACCATCATCATATTTACTATCTTCCCAACACAGTGTGCGCAGATGACTACCCACTCAATTTTGTCCCTCAGTTAAATACCGCATCAAGTGTGTCTTACCAAGAAGCCATGCTGTATCAGTACATATCTTTATTTTTTATTTATTTTGAGAGAGCGTCAAGCTGTAGCCCTGGGTGGAGTGCTGTGATGTCACAGCTCATAGCAACCTACAACTCCTGGGCTTAAGAGATTCTCTTGCCTCAGCTTCCCAAGTAGCTGGGACTACAGGTGCCTGTCACAACACCTGGCTATTTTTTGGTTGAAGTTTGGCTGCGGCTGGGTTTGAACCCTCCACCCTTGATATATGGGGCCAGCACCCTACTCACTGAGCCACAGGTGCTGCCCTCGAGCCTATTTTTAATTTTTTTTTTTTTTTTGAGACAGAGCCTCAAGCTGTCACCCTGGGTAGAGTGCCATGGCATCACAGTTCACAGCAACCTCCAACTCGTGGGCTCAAGCGATTCTCCTGTCTCCACTTCCCAAGTAGCTGGGACTACAAGCGCCTGCCACAACACCTGGCTATTTTTTGGTTGCAGCCGTCACTGTTGTTTGGCAGGCCTGGGCTGGATTTGAACCCGTCAGCTCAGGTGTATATGTGGCTGGTGCCTTAGCTGCTTGAGCCACAGGCACCGAGCCGTATCTTAATTTTTTAAATTTATTTTTGAGACAGTCTCACTCTGTTGTCCTCTGTAGGATGCTGTCATGTCATAGTTCATAGCAACCTCAAACTCTTTGGCTCAAGTGATCCTCTTGCCTCAGCCTCCCAAGTAGTTGGGACCACAGGTGCCGGCCACAATGCTCGGCTAGTTTTCTTATTTTTAGTAGAGATGGGGTCTCACTCTTGCTCAGGCTGGTATCAAACTCTTGAGCTCAACTGATCCACCAGACTCAGATTCCCATAGTGCCAGGATTATAGGTGTGAACTATCACACCTGGCCACCAGAGTCACACTTGAAAGGATGGGAGGTAGACCCATGGTCCAAGGGAATAGGTAACAAGGTCCAAGTTCTCCCCCATTGCAGGACATCCCACTGAGCAGAATGATAAGAGAGTGCATGCTAAAGGAGTATCTATTTCACTCTTGTTAGTTGAGCAATCACTTGAGTAAACGTGTGTATGATGAAGATAATTACTGATATTTAATAAGCCCAGTGACTGGCTTTATGCTAAGTGTTATATGTTGATTATCTTTTTTTTTTGCAGTTTTTGGCCGAGGCCAGGTTTGAAACTACCACCTCTGGTATATGGGGCCAACACTACTCCTGGAGCTACTTGTGTCACCCTTATGTTGATTATCTTACTGCCTTTTTTTCTTTTTTTGCAGTTTTTGGCCAGGGCTGGGTTTGAACCCATCACCTCCGGCATAAAGGCTACTCCTTTGAGCCACAGGTGCTGTCCGATTATTTTACCTCTTAATCATAATTCCATGAAGCAGGTGGATGATACGACTTACATTATTTAGTAAATTACAATGGGAGCACCAATATTATAGGAGTAAGGTAAGGATCAAATGACTTAAGTATAATAACCTAGTTTTTTTTTAATGTGAAGTTTTTTGTTAGGTTTTTTTTTTTTTTTTGCAGTTTTTTTTGGCTGGGCCAGGGTTTGAACCCGCCACCTCCAGCATATGGGGCCAGTGCCCTACTCCTTTGAGCCACAGGCACCGCCCCCTACAGTTTTTTCTGAAACAAAGCCT